CGTCGCTTACGTGCACGGGTCCGCCGATTTCGCCATAGTCATCAAGCGCAATATCATCGACCTGCGCACTTGCACCATCGTCTGTTTCAGCGACGCGGCCTTCGCCAATGTGGACGGGGTGAAGAGCCAGTGGGGTATGGCGATCGGGCTAACCCACAAGCCACGGGACGTCGTGGCTGGACGATATGATTTGTGCTTGCCTGTGGCCTGGCATTCGGGCACGGTCAAGCGATCCGTGAAGTCTACGCTGGCCGCCGAGGGCTACGCCACTCTGGAGGGCGCCGAATCGAGCACGTGGTTCGGCCAGCTACTTACGGAGGCCTACAACCCGAAGAAGACGCTCAAGCAGATCGATGACCTCAGCACCAAACGATCCGGGGAGATCTATAGCGACAGCAACGGCCTGGTGACGCACATCAAGTCTGACGTGGGTCAATCCACGGACAAGCGGTTCCGCATCGTGGCATCAATGATTAAGGAGACGGTGCACCCCAACAGCCAGCTGAAGCTCTCGTGGATACCTACGTGGAGTATGGTCGCCGACGCGCTCACCAAGACCATGGAGACCGGAGTGCTCCTCGCTTTCTTCGGGGCCAAGAAGTACAACTTTGGCACTAGGCAACCGCACGCCGCCATGCTTGCCTCAGTATTGATGACATGTCTCGGACGCGTGAAGGCACAGCATCCCCCACAGGAATGGCAAGTGCCATGTCACATTGGATCTACTACATGACATTAATTGCGATGCTCAGTGGGATCATGATTGGATTTACATTATTCGCAGCGCTGTGGTTTGTGGTGCGAAAGGAGATATTTGGGCCAGGCGACCCCAATCCCATCCAGATCGGGACCATCAACAACACCAGCAATGGGTCCAAGGCTGATCACGCCGGGCACGCGGACACTCCCTTGCCCGGAATATATCCAGGATGGGATGGACGATACCTCGGACGTCGTAACAATGTACCGACTACCATTCCCGAAGACGTCGACGGAGATGTCTACATGGAGCCGCCGATGATTGCCGTCGCAGCCCAGAGTTCATCATCAGCAAGCGGATCGGCAGCGCCAGCCGCACCGCCCCCATCACCGGACAGCTTCGCGCAGGGAGCCAGCTCGTCGCCATCATCCCCGATGACGGTTACCAGTTCCTCGTCAGCCAGCGTGGTTTCTTGGAACGGATCGACGCCAACGGTTCCGCCAGTAGAAATGAACGCATGTGTGGCCGCCGAGCACAACATACGCGTGGGACACAACGCACACAGTGTCTACATCACCTGCAGGACGTGCAGGAAGCACGCTACATGGCTACGCAGGAATTATGTGACCCATGAGCCAGATTTCTCGAGGATGCACAATAGTCTGCGCTGGGATTTACAGAACAGATGGAGGCAGCTACAAGGACTGCCCGGCAAGGCGAAAGCTCTAAAGAAGATTTCGTGAGCACGCCATCGTTTTATATTTGGCGCCACATCCTGTGGCAGATTATGTAAGTCCGCATTGCTCTGTTAGCATCGTTTTATATTTGGCGCCACATCCTGTGGCAGATTATGTAAGTCCGCATTGCTCTGTTAGCTCGTTTTATATTTGGCGCCACACTCTGTGGCAGATTACGTCAGTCCGCACCGCTTTGTCAGTTCGTTTCCTTTACACCTGGAGCCACATCGTGTGGCAGATTGCGCAAATCCGAATTGTCTTACCAGCTTGTTTTTTTTTACATTTGGCGCCACACCCTGTGGCATACTACGCTAGTCCGCATTGTTCGAAGCTTCATTCAGTGTGCACAGATTTCCTTTTATGTGGTGACGACCGCACTATTGAGATTTTATCTTGATAAGACAGCGCTATTTGAGTTTTGTCGCATAGCGATCGGACTCGCGCCGCTGTTCGTTTTGAGAATTTATGTCTTTCTTGCCGGTGCGTGTAGCAGCACCCGTTAAATGCCCCGGGGCAGCCGGATAGCATGCCGACAGGGCCGTTTGCCTGTGTTTGTTTTGAGAGCGCTCTGATTAATGAAGTGAGCTGCGATCAATGATCGTCGCTCGACGGCGCCGCGAGCGTCAATCAGGAGGAGTGTGATTCCCGCTCACTCCCCGTGCTCTTCCTGCATCCCCGCTCTATCCCTCACGCCCGCTCGTGCCGCTGCCGTTTTGTTTCGAACTAGGGCCCTTGGCCTTAGAGCTACGCAGATAGATTGAGCAGCGCTCTCTTTCGCATAAAGATCGTCGCGCCGCGCGCGCCATCCATATCACAGTTGCAACATGCCTGCGAGCACTGGCCTTGCGCATTTGAGCGCCCGACGTGCCTGCGAGCACCCGAGCACCAATAATATGTCTGTGGACAACCCCAATAGCCCGCGAGCACCGAAACGTGCCAGTGAGCACCAATGCGCCTGCGAACACCACACTGTGATCACTGTTGTGAAGCACTCGTGCGGGCAAGCGCCCCGACCGCACCTTGCTGAGAGGCTTCGGTGCTTGACGCACGCGCTGCGGCAGTGCCAAGGGTGCCCTGCGCGGTAGGGGTCACGTTAGCGGGGGGCGGGGGCAAGGGGGTCATACCGCGCGCCATGGCCCAGCCTAGAAAAAAGCACGCTGCTCCAGCCGCAATAGATGCCCACACTTGAGGGGCGCGTTTCGCGGCCGATGGGCTGAAAATCGTACCTAGGGGTCCCCTCCGAAACCAGGCGGGTGAAGGGGGATAGAATCCCCCCACACACACCTTAGTGCCAGGGGAGGCCGTATCCCCCCTCCTTCGCACAGGTAAGCGACGACGCCGACAGAAGACGACAACGACGACGACGACGACGACGACGACGACGACGACGACGACGACGACGACGACGACGACTGACCGACGACGACGACCATGAAGATATTGACGACGACGACGACGACGACGGCTGCGGCTGCGGCAGCGACTGCAGCGACCGACATCGGCAACGACGCCTGGGCGACGACGGACGATGACAACAAGGCCGACATCAAAAATCATAGTAAGACTGCTCTACCCAAAATCCTTGACCCCGGCTCGTTTCATTCTTTTTAACGTACCCCCTTTCGTGGGGCAGTCTCTTGTTCACGCCAACGACTGTTTAAACCCCGACAAGGCAAGACAAGCGGGTCGGGCGGGCGGACACTAAAGAGCGGGTCCAGCGGGCGAATAGCGAGCGGACCCTAATGAGCGGGTGCGGGCGAACTCGAACGGGCGGGTGGGGCAGGCGGGATGTATAGCGGGCGGCTCGGGCGGGTGGGACATCAATGCGGGCGGCGGACTGCCAAGCAAGCGAGCGGGCGGATTCTGACGGACGCGTCGGGTGGACGGACCGGGCGGTCGGACGGGTGGGACATCAAAGCGGCAGGGCGGGCTTTCATGAGAGAGGTGGGCGGGTGGACCCTGACGGGCGGCCGAGACATGAAAGCGGGCGGGCAAGGCGGGCGGTCCTTAACGGAAAGGTCGGGCGGGCGGAACATTTGAGCGCGATTCCTGAGTAGATCGTGAGGATTACTTGGCGTGAGTGCCAGTCCAAGGCAAGCTGTAAGCCCCGAGTAGAAATGAAATTCCCGAGTGGCGGGAGTGTGATTCCAGGCGAGTCCCAGGCGAGAGCGCAACTCTTGAGCGGCGAGAGCGCGATTCATCTATAGAATTTGCAGAGAAGTTTCGATCAAGAGCGTGATACCTGCATAAACTGTGAGAAATCTCAGGCGGGAGCTGTTACTGCAGCCGGGGGCGGAGGGGCTGAGTTCGACGCTCGAGACTTCCCCTGACACAGAAACAGGGTGCACTTCAATGGAACAATACAAGAAGACCAGATGGGGGGGGTCAATGCAAAAATACTCTCTACGAAATGAGAACTCAATGATCTCGAGACCGTTCGCTCTGCACTGCCCGCGCGCCAGCCAACCCATGGGATGCCACTCTTTAGTCCCAACAGTGCTCCCCATACGGCAGGTTTTTGTTGTGACGACTCGCGCCCTGGTCTCTGACACCGCGCGGATCGCTCAGCCTTGAACATCCTTGCGGCTTTCCGTGGACAGAGCGTTCGGCACCGGCCGCTTCCCGGCCTCTGGCGGCACTCAACCCTTGAGACCCGTGCCGGGGTCACCTCCGCCATGCCATATTTCCACCCTCACATCCAAGGTGAGCGTTTTCTTGCTCGGCGTTTCGACATTGGGCGGAATGGAGGGAGGAGGGGGGGGGTCTGGCTCAGGACCTCTGCTTAAGTGCGACTGTTTGCAACAGTGCGTCCAATGGGGTGACTCCACCTGCTCGAGACAGTCGCAAAAAACAGCCAAGATCTACCCCACAGGGGGGGGGGAGGGGGGGGGGAGGGGGGGGCGAGGGCCCGCGCCGATCGGCAAAACAATGGATAAGAGAACGACGTGCAGGAAGGAGGTGGGGGGAGCGGCGTGGCCGTCTGAGAAGGCAGTGCCCTTCTCAGAAGAATTCAGCAGCTTCTAGGGAGGCTTCTTGGAAGGCAGGAAGGTTTCTCAAAATCGAAGAAACAAAAAAAAACAATGCATTAATTTCTCAAAACTCCGCGCGGTCTTCTTGGATCTGTGCTGGAGCCCCCTCCCTGTCGTGCGGGGCGCGCAAGGGGCGGCGCCGGAGGCGCCGCCAGGAGGTTCCAGCGCAGATGCAAGAGATCCGTGCGGAGCTGCGAAAAGTCTGTTTTAAACAGAAGCTTTCGCAACTCCGCACGGATTTCTTGGACACAAACGCGAACGGACAACACGCGTTTAAAACAAGAACGAACAACACAACGGAAGCACAACAAAACAAGACGAGAAACAAAGCAAGGGCCAAAACCTAACAAACATTGTTGTCGTCGGCCCTTGTCTGTTTATGCAGTTGTTTGTTCTGATCCGAGGAAGCCCCCCTGCAGCTTCAGAGAGGCCGCCAGCATTTCGGCCTCCCCCCTCTCTGCGCGCCACGCGCCCCCTGCTCCTTGCTGCTACGGCGGCGGCCCGCGTCCGCGGCGGCAGCGTCGAGGGGTGCGCCTCGAACTTGATCACGGTCTCTCGGTTGGTGTACGCCCGCACCAGGCGCAGCATGCCCATGCACGCCTGCGGCAGCGCAGGCGAGCGACGGAGGGATGGGACTGGCACGACGCGAGCGGATGTTTGCGCCCGCTCAGATGTAGCGCGGCGCAGAACAACGATGATCGGAAGAGGAGAAATGCGGAAAAACATCGCTGGACCAACGGGCAAAGCTCGTGCTAGAATCTTTGGTCCGGGTTTCTATCCCCGCGGTGCCTTCAGCACGAAGTGGAGTGCCACAAGGCTCATACTTTTCAAAGATGTGAAAAAGTTCAAGCATTCTCAAGGACCCAGACCCCAAGTTTGCCCGAATTCACGGGCGCTCCCAGAGTGTATCGCGTGAGCCTTCTGGACGCCGCTGCCGCCTACACCAACGCCCAAACCCTTCAGGACAACCCAAGAAGGTCACAGTAAAGCCACAAGACCGTCCAAGAATGTCCCAAGACGGCCCAGGATCGCCTCAAGAGAGCCCAACAAAATGGCCCCAAGAGGCGAATGCACTGAGCTGCTACTGTTTGGGAAGATTGAAACCTTCTCGCTTCTTCGAGCTTCCGATAGTCCAAGACAGCCCAAGAGGCCCCCAAGAGGGCCCCGAGATGACCCAAAGACGGCCCAGGAGGCACCACAGACAACCCAAAATGGCCCAAAGAAGGGGAACCTGAACTGACATGTCGAGCCCTTTCCCATAAACCGGCACCCGAGACCACCAGCAGTCCCCTGGGAGGCCCCAAAGACCCCCCCAAAGGGACCGAAAGAGGCCTCAGGATGCCCCCAGCATACATCCAAGAGGCCCCCGAGAGACCTTCCCAGGCACGGTAACGGGACGAGCCGAAGGCTACTAGACCCCCCGCCCCCTGTGGCTTGCCACAGGGGCGCACGGCGTGCCAAATAGAAAGTAGCTGTTGCTGTTGCTGTTGTTGCTGTTGCTGTTGTTGCTGTTGCTGTTGTTGTTGTCGTTGTTGTTGCTGTTGTTGCTGTTGCTGTTGTTCTTGTTACTGTTGCTGCTGTTGCTGCTGTTGTTGTTGGAGTCGTTGTTGCTGCTGCTGTTGTTGCTGCTGCTGTTGTTGCTGTTGTGGTTGTTTAAGGTTTCTGGTGGGCCTTCAGCCCAACCCGCCGGCCATCTGGACAGACCCGCAAGGACGCGCAAGGAGAGGAAAAAACAGAAAACTCGCCTCCACGAGGATCCGTAAATTTCCCAGGTCTTCAGCCTTCTCGCTCCAGACGGCACCAAGAGGGAGACAGCCAAGATGGTCTCACGATGTCTCCAAGACGGGCCGAGATGCCCTGTCAAGGTGGCCTCACAGTCGCACAAGACGGGCCAAGAGGCCTTTAACCAAGAGGCATCCAAGAGGACTTCCAGGAAGGCCCGCAGAGGCCGAAAACATATCAGTAGTGCTATTCTACTGGCGAAGCTTTTGACGACAAAACGTAATTCAAAAAATAAACGGTTAAACGCCAAATGATCGGTATAGCATTGGACGAATCTCGGCTGACCGAAAACCCAGGGAAAACCTATGTTACATAGGTTTTCCCTGGGTTTTTGAATCATGCTGGCGCTTCCTCATGCTCGGCTTTCCGACGGTCCAAGGCGGCCCCAGAGGCCACCAAGATGGCCCCAAGAGCGCCCAGGAGGCCTCAGACGGCCCCCAGACGGCCCAAGAGGCCCTCAAGATGGCCCCAAGAGAGCCCCAAGATGGCCCAGGAGACCTCCAAAACAGCCCTGAAGCGCCCCAGCATGACTCAGAGAGGACCCCAGGACGGTTTCGACGGCGTCAGACAAGCCAGGACCGCTCTCAGACGGCCAAGGAGCATCCCAAGGAGCCTCCAAAGGCCCCACAGAGGCCCAAGGAAGCCCTCTAAGAAGCCTCCCGGAGGCCCTCAGGAAGCTCCCAGGAGCCTCCTCATCCTCCCCCTCCCCCCCTCCCCCTCCTCCTCCTCCTCCTCCTCCTCCTCCTCCTCCTCCTGCTCCTCCTCCTCCTCCTCTTCCTCCATCTTTTTCTTTGTCATCCCTCTCCTCATATTTGTTTTTCTCCCCCACGGGTTCCCCGAATGATTTCCACAACGGCTGAGGGAATGCATAGTCCGATAGCGTGGCCAAGCTCTGGCCACAACATTCGGCCACAAAGGCGCTTCCAAAGGCAGAGGGCGCCAGTGATTCGCCGCAAGCATCTTTGATCCGCCGCCCCGTGTTGGCTTGGCGCAGGGGTGCACGGCGTGCCAAACTTGAGGTAATTGTCGGTCATTTTCAAAAACTCACACGAGGGCCTTCGGCCTCATGCACCGGCCACCTGGAAGGGCGCACAAAAGGTGTCTCCCGTTGGCTTTCCGCACGTAACGACCCATGAACTTCCCAGGTCGATGGTCTTCCCGCTCTAGATGGCAAAGATGGTCTCCAAGATGACTAGTATGGCCCCAAAGAGCTCAAGATGAAATCAAGTTGTTTCCAAGGCGGGCCGAGATGCCCCCAAAATGGCCCAAGATGGCCTCAAGATACCCGATGACGGCACAAGAGGCCTCCAAGAAGGCCTAAGAAGCCTTCAAGAGGAACTCCAGGAAGGTCCGCAGAGGTCGAAGTCCAAGAGACTTCGAGATGGCCCCCGCTGACAGCCCAAGGGGACCCCAAAACGGCCTCAAGAGGGCCCCAAGGCGGCCCAGGAGACCTCCAAGATGCCACCCAAGATGGCCCCAAAGATAACCCTGACGCGCTCCACGAGGGCCCCAACTTGGACCAGACAGGCCCCTAAGATGGCTTCCGACGGCGTCAGACGGACCAGGAACGACCTCAGACGGTCAAAAAGCATCCTAAGGAGTCTCTGAAGTTCCTCAGGAGGCCCAAGGAAGCCCCCAAGAGGTCTCCAACAAGCCCCCATGAAGCTCCCAGGAGGCCCCAAGGGTGCTCCAAGAGGCTCCCAAGAGTCCTCCTTCCTTTTTCGTATACATAACTCCTTCCTGTCGCATCCCGAAGCAACTCGGAAGGGCGGGCAGAGCGTTTCGCGTAAAACGGTCAACAGGAGGGCCGCTTCTAAAATGCCCAAGAGGTGCTCCAAGAGGCTCCCAAGAATCCTCCTTCCTTTTTCTGATACATAACTCCTTCCTGTCGCATCCCGAGCAACGCCGAGGGCGGGCCGCTTCTAAAATGTGGTTCTCGCCGTCTTACAAAAATTGCAAGAGATTCACGGGCTGAGGGCGGTTCCGTTTCAGAATGTGGTTCTCGCCTTAGCGCCGCGACATGTTTCCCGCTTGAGCACCGCGCACATTCGTGTTAACAATGCGCACGAGCTTCGCAGATTGAGGGCAGCTCCTTTTCAAAATGTGGTTCTTGCCTTAGCGCCACGCACATTCGTGTTCACACTGTGCACGCGATGTACGGATTGAGGGCGGTTCCGCTTCAGAATGTGGCTCGCGCCTTAGCGCCGCACACACTCGTGTTTTAAAACATGGGCCAATCTCGCGGATTGAGGGCTGGTGGTTTTCAACATGTAATTCCCGCCTGAACGCCACGCGCATTCGTCTTCGCGGATTGAGGGCAAATTCTTTTCAAAATGTGGCTCTTGCCTCAGCGCCACGCACATTCGTGTTCAAACTTTGCAAGAGCTGTACAGATGTAGGGCGGTTACGTTTCAAAACGTGGCTCTCGCCTTAGCGCAGCACACACTCGGTGTTTAAAACATGTGCCAGTCTCGCGGATTGGGGGCGGGTGGCGTTCGACAGGTAGTTCCCGCCTGAGCGCCGCGCACATTCGTGCTAACAGTTCAAGAGCTTCGCGGATTGAGGGCACTCCCTTTTCAAGCTGTGGCTCTTGCCTTAACGCCGCGCACATTCGTGTTCAAACGTTGCAGAAGTTGTACGGATTGATGGCGGTTCCGTTTCCAAATGTGGCTCTCGCCTTTGCGCCGCACGCATTCGCACTAACATGTTGTAAGGTGTTGTGGGACGGTTCAAGGTTGTCAGAGCGCGGCGGTTAGTTGATTCGCGGAGTCGAAGTCCCAGGAATGGTGCCATGGCACGATTCAGGATCGCCATAGCGCAACAGTCAAATTGATTCGTGGCGTTACAGTTTCGAGAATGTTGTTTTGCAAGCTTCAGGAATTTCAAACGGTTGTCTCTCAACGGGGCAGTTCCCTGTGGAAATGATCCCTTGTAGGGGCCTGTGAAGAGGGAGCTAGCAGGGGGGGTTATTCCACCATCGTTGGTGAGTCTTGGGTTTATACTGGTCATCCTCCTGCTCATCCTCCTTGTTCCTCCTCTCCTTCTTGTCCCCAACACTCCAGTAGGTTGGGTCCTCGTTTTCAATTCGCAACGCCGCGCTCCGCCTCGGCTCCTCCCCCTCCTCCGACTCTCCCCAATGGCTGCGTCTGCATGTTTACTCGGGACCGTTCTGACACACCCCTCACGTGGCCCCATAGAGAGCTCCACCGAAAGCCTAAGTGTGGTCCCATTGGAAGCTCCATCCAAGGCCCCAGTGGCTGCTTCCGCATGGTTACTCGGGCCCATGTCGGCGCACCCCTCACACGTTTCACGGCCCCATATACAGACGGGTTGGGTTCTTCGCCAGGGCAAAATGTACTCCCCCCCCCACACACGTGTTCCCCGAAGGATGTCCACAACGGCTTGGGGAACTCATGATACGAAATCGTGGCCGAGCTCTGGCCGCAACGTTCGGCCACCTCAGCCATAGGCGCTTCCAACAGGCAGGGGGCGACGGTGATTCGCCGCAGGCGTCTTCTATAGTTGTTCCTCTTGCTTTTGCCTTGCTCAAGAATTGGATGGGTGCATTAAAGTTTCGCCGCGTCCCCGCTCGTTGCCGCCTCGTTGCCGCCAACTTGGGGGGGGTCGTCCTTCGAAGTTTCGCCGCGTCGCCGCCCGTTGATACCTCCTTGCGGCCCACTTGGGGGGTCCGTCGAAGTTCGCCGCGTCGCCACCTGCTGCCGCCTCGTTGCCGCCTCGCTGCCGCCAACTTGGGGGGTCCGTCGAGGTTTCGCCGCGACGCCTCTCGGTGCCGCCTCGCTGCCGCACACTTGGGTGGG